GTTTTTTTTACAGAACCAGGGATTGAACTCAAGCCCTAGCACTTGCCAGGGAAGCGCTTATTCCACTGAGCCATCTCTCCGGCCCCCCCCCCTTTTTTTTTTAATGTATTTAGTATAGGGTGTACAGGGTTTCACTACACAGACCAGACTGGTAATGATCCTCTTGTTTTCAGCCTCCCAAACTCTGGGATTACAGGCATGTGTGCTACCATGCCAAGTTTCAATTGCTGTCTCAGTGTACTGCCCCAGGGGCGGTGCCAGCATGGTGTTGTCTTTTTGAAACAGGATCATGCTGTGCAGTTCAGGCTGGCCTTGAGGTTACCTTGTGGCCTGGGCTCGAACTTGCAAGGATTCTTCTGTCTCAGTCTCTCAAGTGCTAGGATCACAGGTATGGGCCACCACCCCCAGGAGTAGGGTAAATTCTACCAGCAGCTCTAAGAGCTTTTGAGAGATTATGAGATGTGGCAGGATGACCACTGTGGCTGGCTGCAACCAGGTGACCTTAGTCTAAAATGCCTGTGACCCCACAATCATCCCTGTGTCTTCTCCAGGTCCTGTTTCTCCTGGGAACGCTCTTCATTGCCATGTCCTTGCAGCTGAATCGAAGAGGCGTCTGGAACATGCTGGGGCCCTGCGTCTTTGCCTTTGTGATCATGGCTTCCATGTGGGTAAGGACCGGGCAGGCTGGTGTTCCTGCCAAGACTCTGGGAGAAGGCCCCTCTTCTGGCCTCATTCCCCATTCTGCTTCACTCAGCAGGTCTAGGGAGCAAATGCCTCACATCTGCTGAGGACTGCTGGAGTTGTCCCTCCCGCCCCCTATGCCCCAGAGACCCAGGGTGGTACTTACTAGAGGTTGGAGTCTGAGGACCAGTGGCCTTGTGCTCTAATGTCTTCTCCAAGTTAGCCATCTTGGTTTTTTTTCTTTTTTTTTTGGTAGTACCAGGGATCAAACTCAGGGCCTTGCACTTGCCAAGCAGGCACGCATTTATTTATTTATTTATTTATTTATTTATTTATTGGTGGAAACAGGGATTGAACTCAGACACTTGCCAGGCAAGTGCTTGTTGTACTGAGCCATCTCCCTGGCCCCCAAGCAGGCATGTATGCTGCTGAGCTATATCCCTGGCCCCAACTTTTTTTTTTTTTTTTTTTTTTTGCAGTACCAGGGATTGGGATTGTCTATCTTCTTAGTTCTGCTGCCCAAACCTTGGCAGGCTCTTTATAACCTCTACCCTCACTAACACTAGCATGGCTGTTTGCTTCAGGTGTACCGCTGTGGGCACCGGCGCCAATGTTATCCCACCTCATGGCAGCGGTGGGCCTTCTATCTCCTGCCTGGCATCTCTATGGCTTCTGTGGGCATCACCATCTATGCATCTCTGATGACTAGTGACAACTATTACTACACACACAGTATCTGGCACGTACTCCTGGCTGGGAGTGTAGCCTTTCTGCTACCACCGCGGGATGAGAAAGCTGAGCCCTGGTCTTGCTCACAGAAGTTGCCCTGCCACTATCAAATCTGCAAGAATGATCAGGACGAGCTATACACTGTGACGTGATTTGACCAGCTCCAGAACATCTGCTACTGATAACCGCTTCTGCCAGGAGCATGACCAAGGAAGAGGAGCCCCATGCAGCCCTGCCTAGATTGGTTTCCAACTGAATAAAATTGCCCTGAGACCCTTTGTTTCCTCCTCCAGAGGAAAGGAACACCCCCTCTCCAGCACGTGCGTGCACGCACACACACACACACACACACACACACACACGACCTGCTCCTGTGTCTGCTATCTGCTGTTGACAACTTCAACAGGGTCCTCAGCATGTCTCAGTGGCTTTTGCAGTGGCCCTTGGAGATTGTAGACAGTGTGTGGGCAGGGTCTTATGGGCTGCTAGCCTGGAGGTGATGAGTGACCAGAGACAGCAGGGAAAAGTTCTCTATTGCCTTGTTCCTATGAGGTTGTGATGTGAGACTCACAGGGCCAAGGAGGCATGAGTCCCTGAGGCTGGCAGTCTCGTGATCCTGGCACCCCTGATCCTGTGTGCCTGAATGCCTCCATGGGGACTTAATGCTGCTGCAGTTATAGTGAGAGAGACCAAGGTTACCAGCACTGGATGGGCCCCCTGAGGATTCAGGGCCTTGCTCTTAGATCCGAGAAAAACCTCCTGGGGAGAGGGCTGGTTAGCTGTTCTGAGTGTATGATTCCTTCCCCTAGGCTTCTTGGACCCTTCTCTGACAAACATCCTTTTGAGCAATTCTTAGGAGCCCAAAAGGTGGCTGTCCCCTCTCCCTGCACTGGATCAAATGAGACTCAGAAAAGTGCCTCTAGAGAGCTAGCTCAGCTTTTCCAGCTCAGGTGACACTAGGCTGTCTTGTCTTCCCCAGGGTTGGGAAGCTGGTGCTGTGATGCCCAAGGCTGCCATCTGGGCCTCCCATCTCCCCAGTCATCCACACTTATCCACCAACGCATTCCTCAGCCTATGAAACAGTAAACATGTACATACAGTGGTTTATTATTTTTGAAGTGGGTAAACTCAGACATTAAGACTTTTTTCTCCTTTTTTGTGTATCTAGTACAGGATGTTCAGGGTCTCACTATGCAGCTTGGACTCGCAGTGATCCTCCTGTTTTCAGCTTCTCAAACGCTGAGATTACAGGCACAGGCCACCATGCCCAGTCTCAATTGCCTCTCAGCGCGCCCCTTGGGGATCAAACCTTGGCCACTGGGCTGCTTAAGCAGGCATTTTGCGGATTGAACTCAGGTCCTTGTGCTTGCCAGGGAAGCACTTATTCCACTGAGCCATCTCCCCAGCCCTAGTCCACTTCTCTATCAGGCCCTCCCTCTGTCTTTGTCTCTCTCCATCTCTCCTTATCCCTATCCCTCTCTTTCCCGTCCCCCTCCCCCTCTCTCTCACACAGGATCTCACTATGTATAGTTTAGGCCGACCTTGAACTCACTATTTCACTATGCACCTCAGGCTGGCCTGGAACTCATGGCGATACAGGATTATAAATTTGTGCTACCACTCCTGGTTTTTTTTTTTAGACAAGGTCGCGATTTATGGGACAGGGTGACCTTGAACTATGTGGTCCAGATTACTTTTTTTTTTTTTTTTTTTAATTATTTTTACATTTATTTAGTGTGTGTGTGTGTGTGTGTGTGTGTGTGTGTGTGTGGCCAGCTCAGCCCACCAGGGGGCGGGGCTGGCTGGCATGTGGTGCTGGGGGATTGAACCGTGGTCCCTGTGCTTTGCTAAGCTTGTTCTAAGTAGGTGCTTTAGACCACTGAGCCATCTCTCCAGCCCCTGAGATTACTCTTGACCTAATCATGGAAATTCTCCTGCTTCAGCCGCTTAGAGTCCTGAGATTACAGGCACATCCCATGCCATTTTTATGTTAGTGGTCAATTTAATATTCACTGATTTTTCAAACCTGAGTACATTTTTCCCGCTCTTTCCTGGGGTAGTGGAAGAGGCGGGGCCTAGGATGCCCAACCTCTCTTCGTCCTCTGGAAATAACTGGGCTGCTCTTGGCTTTTAACAGGTACTCTTTCTACAAGACATTACAGTCCCTAAAACCGGGATGAGGGCGGGACGAAGGTAGACGGACAGACTTGGTAGCCAGTTACCGGCACCCGACGCAATTCCGGTTCCGCCGGCATAAAACTCTGGGTCATACTGAAGTGCGGGTTACGGCGGTGCTGTGCGATGCCTCTGCACAAGTTCCCGGTCCGCCTCTGGAAGCAGCTGCAGAGGCAGGAGGGCATCTGCTCACGCCTGCCCGCGCATTTTCTGCGCTCCCTGGAGGACTCGCAGACACCTACCCCAGTCCATTACCGGCCTCACGGGGCCAAATTCAAGATCAACCCCAAGAACGGGCAACGGGAGCGCGTAGAGGACGTGCCCATCCCTATTTACTATCCTCCGGAATCTCAAAAGGGGCTCTGGGGCGGCGAGGGATGGATCCTGGGCTACAGATACGCCAACAACAACAAGGTGGGTGCGGGCCGGTTCGTTGTCGGTCTGCTGGGCGCAGTTGTACCGAAAGAGCAGACAAGTGCTTACAGATCTGGTAAACTACTGGCAAAACCAGAGGTATTCTGAGATGGGGAGGCTCAGCCTCTGGGGAAACAGCACAGGCAAAAGCGTGGGAAGGAGCGCCGTAGCAGTTAAAAGTAAAGCTAGGATGCGGCTTTGCAGCAGAGGAGCAGGAGAGAGGCGGTCAGTGCTCACCTACCAACTTGACTTAGCCTATGTCCTGTGACAGGATGCCCACTTTGCTCTTTAGAGCCAGGAAGATTGCTGGGCATGGTGGTGCACAACTGTAATCCTCACACTGGGGGGGGGGGCTGGGCAGGAGCATCACTAAAGTTGAAAGCCAACGTGAGCTACATGGCTACATACCCTGCCTAAAAAAAAAAATCAGAAAAAGAGTTTAGAAGGATCAGAGCTTGTCCCCCATGTTTGCTTATGGCGAGAGTCTCAGCTTTCTGGGAGGAATCTTGTTTTTTTGTTTTTTCCTTTCTGTATTTTAGGGAAGGATCTACAGGGTGTTTAGGGTCTCACTACTAGATTGGACTCATAGTGATCCGCCTGTTTACAGCCTCCAAGTGCTGGGATTACAGGAGTGCATGACTATGCCCAGTCTCAAATGCCATCTCAGTGTGCCCCAGGGGTGGGAATTGAACCCCTGGCTCCTGCACCTTCTTGCAGGTGCTTTAATCCTCTGAGCTATTTGGCTGGCCCCAAAGCTTGTATTTTTGAGGTCTCCCAGGTTATCCTTTTTCTGGAAAGGGTGAAGGCACTGGAATACGCACTGACCTGGCCCCTCCAGAAAGATGCTACATGTTGTGTAGTGAGAGGGCAGAACTCATGGATTTGTCTGTGCTTTTAGCTTTCAAACAGGGTGAAGAAGGTGTGGAAGCCACAGCTATTTCAGCGTGAGCTCTACAGTGAGATCCTGGACAAGAAGTTCACTGTGACTGTAACCATGCGTACCCTCGATCTCATTGATGAAGCTTATGGGTTTGACTTCTACATCCTCAAGGCAAGTGGGGCTAATGTACAATAGGGTCCTGTGGTCAGGCACATTGGCCAGAGCAGTGCTGCAGAGCAGTGCCACATTGGAGTTTGTGCTGTCTGGAGAGTCACTGGCAAAGCATAGGTAGAATCATTCCCCTTTCTGGGCAACCCCAGTGGGGCTTTCTGCTCATAGGAGTCCCTTATGGGGGTGGCTGAGTGAGTACGACTGAGTATGGCCACCTGCTTCTAACTCTAGAGCTTAAACTATGTGATCCATCCCAGGTGCTGGCATTGTTCATCATGCCTGGCCTACTCTGGTCTAGCTGGGGGGTGGTTGGCAAGGTGTTGGAGTCCCTACCATCAGCACGTGTCTCTATATGCACCTCCTGCAGACCCCAAAGGAGGACCTGTGTTCCAAGTTCGGGATGGACCTGAAACGAGGAATGCTGCTAAGGCTCGCCCGGCAGGATCCCCAGCTACATCCAGATGACCCTGAGCGGAGAATGGCCATCTACCACAAGTACAAGGTGAAGGCTTCCCCCACTCTGCTGCCCGTAGCCCCTGGCAAGGCTTAGCCTCACTGTACCTTCTGTTTTCCTGCCCAGGAGTTTGTCATCCCAGAGGAGGAGGCTGAGTGGGTTGGCCTTACACTAGAGGAGGCTGTGGAGAAGCAGAGGCTTCTGGAGGAGAAGGTGAGCATTATGTGCATGCCAGCTATTGCTGCCTTGGAAGAGGTAGGCAGAGAGCCTAGATACGCAGGTATCACAACCACTGATGTATCTGTATCTGTTGCTGTGCATGTAGCCACATACCCACCTGGAGAAGGTTCCTCCTGACTCCTGTCCCTAGACTTTCAGTGGAAAAAGCAAGATTATTTTTCTTTGAGACAGGGTCTTGCTGTGTAATTCACCAAACTCATTGTGTAGCTGGAATTATAGGTGTGTGCCACCATACCTGGTAGTAGAGCAATATTTATTTATTTATTTATTTATTTATTTATTGTGGAACTGGGGATTAAACTCAGGCCTTGTGCTTGCCAAGCACTTACTCTACTGAGCCATCTCCCCAGCCCCAGGGCAAGATTTTTGATTCTGTATTTACTTGACTGCCTGGAATCCCTAGGGTCTTCCTTTTGTGTCTTATTGTCTAGAAGGGTCTGGAGCCAATAACTGTAAGGACAGGGAGCCCACCTGTGGCATAGTAGCTGGCTGCTTCTATTCTGTCTGCTAAGTTTATCTGTGACCACAGGGAAGCCAGAGGTAAACACATGGCTCCTGTGTCCCTAAAAAAGGGGAGGCCTATCTCATGGACAAGCTTTGCCTTCCAGGTTGATAAACCTGGTGACCAGTCTTGTGACCAAGGCTGAGGGGGCCTAGCTCCTGCTATGGCCCTATTTCGTGAGATGTCTGATTAACAGCAGCTGGTTCCCATTTTCCTGGAGCCCAGCTGCTATTGGGAGCTGTGAGCCTCACTAGGACCCTCTCCCTTCAGGACCCCATCCCCCTCTTCAAGATCTACGTGGAGGAGTTGATTGAGCAGCTTCAGCAACAGGCACTGTCAGAGCCTGTGGTGGTGCAGAAGAGAGCCAGCGGGAAGTGACCAAACAGCCTCTGCAGTGCCTGACCACCAGGCTCAGCCTTTCTTGCTGGGTCTTTTATCACTGTGGACACAGAACCTGGGAGGACCATGAGGGCTGCCTGTGGGCAGTGGGTGAATCTTGGTTCTTACATGCTGGCTACACAGCTCCTGGGGGCACTTTTGTGGCTTCTACTAGGATCTGCTAGAGGCCTAGCAGAGGCCCTTCCAGACTGGGGAAAACACCACATAGCATTTATTGTCCCTGTGGCTCTGGGAGCAAGTAAAGTCTGAACCAGGCAGTATGTGTGTTCCTTTAGTTGGAGGACTAGAGTTCTGTCTGGAGATCCTGGCCCAGTTGTGCCCTGCCTGCCAGAGATCCAATATGGGGAGTGTATGCTCTTTGGCTCCAGCTGTCTTCCTCAGGAATCTGTGGAGACAGGTTCAGTTTAATGTTTCTTTTTCCCCCCCTGGAGAGGATTCTGTGTAGTGGATATGTCTGGGGTGTACGTCCTTCGATTGCTGACTCTTGGATTGTGATTCAAGAAAGGGCGCGTGGTGGCTGTTGGTTTGGCTGCTGGTGGGAGTCCTGAGACCTCAGAAAGTCACTGCTGATCATCTGTCCTGGAGCCTCACATGTGCCCTTGGCCTTGAATCCAGAAATAGCCCTTTTTTTCTTTCCCCTTTCTTTTTCTTTTCTTTCTTTTTTTTTTTTTTTTTTTTTGGTGACAGGGTTTCATTATATATTTCAAGCTTGCCTTCAATTCACAGTACTCCTGCCTGTGCCTCTTGAATGCTGGGATGACAGGCCTGCAGCACTAGCCTGGCAAAATGGCCCTTTTCTTGTGGAACCCACATTTGTTTCATTAAATTCTCACAAAAGCCCTTGTTTAGAAAATGATGATGGTCTTTAGTGAATGACAGACCTACCCTGTACCAGAAATAAGGAAGTAATCCCGGTCTGGGACAGGCTGTGGATATGCCCTAATACTCTGCCTCTAAAATATGGGAATTCAGAGAATGTGTGTGCTCAGTCACATACATGCACACAGAGACAAGTTTGTGGCCGCATGTTTGTTTACACATGGTCCTGGGAACTAAACATGAAGAGGGTGGTCTGTATTTTTTCCTGTATTTTCCTGCCCTCTGTGTGTCACACCTATACCCTGTAGGTCCTGCCCAGGCCTGGCCATCTAAGCCATCTTAGGTATTCACTTTGTGCTGGGAACTACACATCCTATGGGGGGGGGGCTGCACTGATCAAGATCAAACCTACAGAAGGCAGAGTGGCTCTGTGCTTCTAGAGAGAGATCCTTCCCACACCTTGCCCTATCTAGCCGGGTCTGAGCAGCTCAGGGGTTAAGAGACATCTCTTGACCAGGCATGGTGGCGCATACCTGTAATCCCAGCTCGTGGGAGGCTGTAAACAGGTGGATTGCTACGAGTCCTATCTAGTAGTGAGACCCTGAACACCCTGTAGACCCTTCCCTAAAATACAAAAAAAGTTTAAAAAAAAAAAGACATCTCTTGCCCCAACTGTATGCCGGGGATTGGCTGAACCCATGTGTGTCTATGACAACAGCCCAAAGTCAGCTTCAGTGTTGAAGGGACTATAGCGGGGCTGTGGATGAGAAGGTAGAAGTAAGGGTAGACTGTTACTGCTGCAGTAGCTGGGTATGGTTTCCCTAGGAGTGAGCAGTAAAGACTGGAGAAGAGTTGACATTCTTCAATCTGAGACAACCAAGGCCAGGAAGAGCCCATGCCCACTGTGGGATGGGCGGATGTGTGGCAGCCTGTGAACCCAGTTGGAATCCTATGCCCAACTTCTCACCTTGCTGGTCTCACTTGCCTTTGAGCCCTGCTCAGTGGCTGGAGGGTGGTGGGAAGGGCAGGCAGGTCCTGCTGGGTTACCTGCATACCATGTCCCCTGCTCAGCCTGCCACTGCCAGATTCACTCACCTGTGTTCTTTGTTGGCCTCCCTTCACCGTGCCATCATCTACCTACTGACTTTTCCAGCTTTCCACTGGCTCCAGATGGGGTTAAGTTGTGTGGGACCCCTGGACTTTCTTCAGTCCCTTAGCCACTCTCAGTTGAGGCCTTGGCCTATAACAGTCCAGCTTCCTCTGACATGGTACATCTCAGCATCCTTAAGCTTACCCCATGTCCCAAAATGGTCTCCTCTCCCTGACCATATCACCAACTGACCCTGGGCAGCATCTCTATCCACACATCCTCTATCCTTGGACTGGACTGTCTTGCTGGTGGCTTCCAGCTTAGCAAGGGGAGTCATTCATTTTGAGGCTAATGCTCTGTCCTTTAACAGGGAAGCTCAGAATGGGACCAGGATGGTACAAAGAAATCTAGAGCCAAGTCCAGAGGGCTACCCAGGCAGAAATCTAGAGCCCAGCCTTGTGACTCTGAGAGCGTTCATGGCTCCAAACTGCCTGTGGCTGGGTTCATCCCAAACCCAGTTCTGTGGGACCAGTCCTGCTCTTTGAGGCTGCTTTCCTGGATATGAGAATCTCTTGGATGCATGTTCCTTTCCCTTCTGCCCCAGTTCTTCTGGCCTTAGCAGGGACCTCAGTGGCTGCTTGGCCGCCAGGGCCAGCCACAGCTGTGTAACCCTTCTGAGGAGCCTGAAAGGCATACTTGCTCAGCTCGGAGTTCTTTTTGGCTGTATTCTGCTCAGTAGCTGTGATCCAGGGCCTGGGCCAGAAGGTAATATGGAGGAAGGATGTGGGTTTCCAGGGCTCTCAGGTCTTCAGAGGCCCTCAACCTGACATTGTTGCTCCTGGAGGCATTGGACAGCCCATGCTCTTCCTGGCTATGACAAAAATGGCTTTAAGGCTGCTGACATCCCTAACTGTCCAGGATTGTCAGTCCATGGAGTGGGGCACATCGGCCCCAGCCTCACTGAGGACTGGGGTGGAGAGGAGTTCTTTGTACGCAAGAGGGCGCTACAGCCAAGGGAGAAAGCAGGTGCAAAGTCAGGTGTGTCAGAAGGTGAACCAGGTCCCAGAATTCTGCCAGGTGAGTACTCAAGGTCCATAGGGAGCTGGGCCTTCCCAGACCCTTAGATGGCTATTGAGAGTGGATCCTGGGAGAAGATCCATGTGCTCAGGTAGTAGAGAGAGTAGTGGAGTGGTTTGTGAGCAGAGGTAAAGCTGCAGGCATTTTGTCATCTGAGGTAAGGGAAGAGCTTAGCTTTGCTCACCTTGGGTGAGGAGTTTTCACTGCTTTTTCTTCCCACTGCCCCCACCATTCATTTTTTTTTCTCACCAGATGGCCTGGGTGTCAGCCCCTGGGGCAAGCCTGACCTGAAGGCCTCCACTCAGCAGGGGCTCCAGAGGGACTGCAATGTCATTTGAACCTTTGCCAGGGGGTCAAGCAGGGCATAGAGAGGCCTGGCACAGGCAGAGAGGGACAGAAACCCCCTTCATGCTCAATATGAGTGAACACATGAAAATGTTGAATAGATAGTATGGGAACAACTACTATATAGCCACACCCAATCACCTCTCAGTGGGGACCTTGGCACAGGCCCACTGGCGGTGCCGCCTGTTCCCTCAGCAGTCAGGAGTGGCTTGGGGGTGGCGGTGTCTAAAGGGGCTGGTTGCCATGGCTACCATAAGGTTCTGAGGCCCGTCATCTGGTCCCTGCCTCAGCCAATCGGCGGCAGGAACCCGAGCTGCAGCCTAGAGTCACGCTTCTGCCTCCCAGCCACACAGTGGCCAAGAGCAGGGACCGGCTTCCTGGAGTGGCTGAAAGTGCTCCGACGGACGGCCAAGCCCATCATGGCGGACAGCGGGATGGTGGGGCGTGAGCAGGCACACGGAGCCAGGCAGGTGAGGTAAGCCAGGCGGGTGGACATAAGGATGGACAGGGGGACAGGTGGTCTATGTGGTCCTCACAGCCCATTGTTCTCGTGGCTGTGACTCTTCCACCCCACCCTCAGGTGTATGCACACATACACCCGTCCACACCCTTATCCTCGGACCCTCTCCCAGCGTGTTCCAAGGAAGGGTCAGGGGAAGAAACAAAGGAAAGAGCATGTGGTAGAATCAACCCCAGCGCCCCACAGACCCAAAAACCGCCCTGGTAGGTCTCCCATGTCAGATTTCACACAGAGGCGGCATCAAAGACCCCTGACTGGCCTGGGCCTTCTGTGTCCTGGCCAACATCCCTGGGCTCTGCGAAAAGCTGTGTCAAGTCAGTGTGGTTTAAGGAGCTTTTTTGTTGTTTTCAAGGATAAAAAAGAAAAAAGCGATAGAAAGAAAAAAATGTCCACCTATAATCGGAGAGCGGCCAGCCCAGATGGATCAGAAGCACCAAATCCCATTACTCGGGACTTCAGAGCACAGGCCCTGCTAGCAGCTGCGATTAAGAGCCTGTCAATGGGGTCCCCTTTGGAGATCAAAGGCAGGCATGCTTGTGTGTGTGTGTGTGTGTGCGCGCGCGCGCGTGCGCGTGCATGTGCACATGTATACGTGTGCGTGTGTGGGGCAGAAGTATGTGCTGTGGAGTGATAGTGGAGGGGCTGAACACCACAGCAGCGGGCCTGGTGTGTCCCCTGCCCTCTGTGGCCACCCTTCATGTTGCTCGTATTGTTGCTGCTGTGTATGATAAGCGTGGATGCATCCAAAGGGCCCAGCTAGGCACAGGCAAAGCCTGGCACCTGATAGCCACACCCTCTGAAAGGCATTTCCAGCTGGGCTGAGACCCCCTACCTTCTACTAGTGTCTAGTCCCTTCCCCAACTTCTGTACTGAGGGGCCTCTGGGAGCCAAGAACACAGGCCTAGCTGTGAATAGAGCTGGATGTAAGGTGGCCCAGGGCTGGGTGTGTGACCATTGACCACGGTCCTACTGCCCATAGAGGCCTTTGGTTCTCAGCTGGTCTGGCAAGTGTGTCCTGAGGGTTCAAAGCTGCTGTTGATGTGATTGTTAGGTTATTAGGTAAGCTCTGAGAAGCAAATCTTTTAATCCACTGTGGCTAATCCAGTGCACTTTTGTTTGCCACGACAGATTCTGCAGCAACAAAGGGGCCAGAAGGACCCCAGCATACGTAATTGCATACTTAGAACTTGGCCTCACTGCCACAATGCTCCTAGGTAGCAGAAAAAGACATCTCAGGACAGCATTATGAAAGACGGCTGAGGGAGGTATGTAGGCAGCTTGTCTACCTGGGCACCACGTTCCTCATTTCCCTGTCCAGATGTCCCCTGGCCACAGAGTGGTAACTATTGGGTTTTGGGGCTGTGGAGGTTTTGGGAAGAACACTGAGATGAGTCAGGAGGAAAGAA